ACACGGTCACAATGTTTGGGAGTCTTAGAGTTGAGTACGACATGCATGATGCCTGAAAAGGTCATTGTGAAAATTCTACAGCAGCCTGCATCAGTGAACACAGAGCAGTTATAGATGTTCCCAGGACTCTCAGGTTTCTGCCTCGTTTGCACACCTCGCCTTGCTCGGGTTGGCTGCTGTCTACACAACTTAATAAAAAGGAAAATAACTAGAAGCCCCCGGGGAGAGTCCACTTCCTGCCCCTAAAAACAGCCTTCTGCAGCCCTGGACCTATCACAGGATTTTGCATTCTGGTTACAGAGATGATGAGGGGAACCCAAGAACTGAGATGGAGTCTTCTTTTAAGTAACTCAAGTGAGAAAACAGCCACAGATAAATCACCTTCTAATGAATACAAATAATGGTTATACCTTTTAATTCCATGACACTGTCTTGGAAACTCTAGCTCACTCTGGCTTAGATATACTTTCAGACTTGAATTCCTTCCCAGATTTGACTACTGCTTCAGGGAGATCTGTTAGACTTTACTTGGGATAAAATTAATCTTTTTCTTAATTGGACCATGATCAATGAATCACTCCAGCACAAATGGGCTCCACCTCTAGGTATAATGCTACTACTTGCATTAGGCTTTTTGTTGTAGATGATCCTTTTCTCACTGTGCCTTACTGGATCTGTATACCACTGCCTTACTACTACCTGTTTCTGTTACATCCATCTTTGGGTCAGGCGTGGTGGTGCATGGCTGTAATCCCAGCACTTGGAAGGTTGGGGCAGGAGGTTCGCTGCAAGTTCAAGGTCAACCTGGGCTACTTAGTGAGTTCAAGGCCAGCCTGAACTATGTACTGAGACACTGTCTCTCAATTAAATAAATATATAAATAAATAACCATCTTTGGCACCACAGCAGGCAATGGAAGCGACTGTAGAGGCTGTACAGGCTAAAAAGGACTAAACTCTCAGTGAAATGGTCACACAAAATAAAGGGAAATGACATCTCCTCACTCTACACATGGGGGAATCTGCTAAATGAAACATGAAGCTTTTGGTTAACTAACTCAAAAAAGGGGGGGAAACTCATAAAAATCAAAGAATTAACACAATTGCATAGACACCTAAACAAAGGGCTTTTTGAGGAGTCATGGTTTGAGTGCTTTCGGAAAGCACTCCAGCGTTGGATACAGTCACAAATAGGAGAGTTTATACCAGTTCTTCTATTAATTATTCTTGTTCGTGCTTGTGGACCTTGCCTGTTTAGCAAACTCCTACAAATCTTCTCTTCCAGATTTCAAGCAAGGTTCTACCACAAGCCTCTGACCCGCTGGCTACCAACAGCTCCCAGTGGACTCCACAATCCTCACTTCCCCTTCAGATTAGTTCGGACGAGAGTCCCATGATTGCCATGCTGGCAGGGACGATGGCCGTCATCAGGAGGAAGCAGTTCTGGAACATTGACATTGTCAGCTTCAACAGCCCATTATGAATTATGGGAATTAAGTCTCTAGGGAAAATTGAAGTAGAGCAGGACAAGAAAGCAATAAGAAGCTGTGGGGCAAGAACTGAGAAACCAGAGTAAGGACAGCTGTGTCAAAATATCTGAAAAGCAATAGATGAAGGTCATCTTGAACCCAAAAGACCCCAAAGCACAGGCAAAACCAAAAGTGCAGGACCTTGGTCTGCACCCAACCTCATTTGCATTTGCACCCTCCCTCCCATGGGCGTTAGACACCATGACACTGTCTCTAAAAGCTTTTTTTTTTTTTTTTTTTTTTTGTACCAGGGATCAAACTCAGGACCCTCTGCTTGCAAGGCAGGTACGGTGCCACTGAGCTAAATCCCCAGCCCTCTAAAAGCTTTGTATGGTCAAAAATTCCCCTTCCCAAAGCATGGGCCTAGTCAGGTATCCCACTGGGCAGTGACTCCTGTTAGTCTCTAGCTATGGATTGTCCCATAATCCCAGGACCTAAGGAGCCCAGTGTTTACCAGTAACTGGCTGTGAGGTCTTCTCATTGGCCCACTCCCACTTCAAGGAGACACTTTCACTTATTTTCTTTTACGAAAATCTTACTCTTGTTACTACTTCTGAGTGTTACGCTCAAGTCTTTGTTCAAGATACCAAGGCCTGCAAAAAATTCCTTAAAGACTCTCCATCTACTAACATATTGTTGGTGTTAGGTGTTGGGTGTTGTTTATGTTGGTTGCCGTTGGGTGTCAGTGGATTGTGTGTGGTTAATATTGTGTGTCCCTTGGTGATATGTATTGGTTGATTTGGGTGACCATCGATGGTGTGTGGGTTTTTTGTTTTGTTTGGTTTTGGTTTTTGTTTTTTTTGGTACCAGGGATCGAACTTGGGACCTTATGCTTGCAAAGCAGGCGGCAGAACCACTGAGTTAAATCCCTGGCCCGATGATGTGTGTTTGTTGGTGTTGTATATCTGTTGGTGGTGTATGTCGGTTGGTGTTGGATGTCATTTGGTTTTGTGTGGTGGTTGGTGTTGACTGTAGGTTGGTGGTGTATGTTGCTTGGTGTTGGGTGCCAATTGGTGGAGTTTACTAGTTGGTGTTTTCTGTTGTTGATATATGTAGCTAGTCATTGGGTATTAGTTGGAGAAATGTGCTTACTGGTGTTTAGTGTCCATTGGTGATGTATATTGGTTGCTGGTGGGTGTCAGCGATGTGTCTGGTTGGTGTTGGGTGTTTGTCAGTGATGTATGTTGTTTGGTGAGGGTGTCTTTTGGTAGTGTATGTTCGTTTGTGTTCAGTGTCATGTGGTGGTGTGTGTTTGTTGGTGTTTTGTGTCAGTTTGTAGGGTACACTGGTTGGTGTTTGGCTTCTATTGGTGTATGTTGGCTGGTGTTGAGTGTCTGCTGGTAATTTAGGTCCCTTCTTGGTATGTGTCAGTTGGTAGAGCATGTTTGTATTGTGTGTCTGTTAGTAATGTATGTTGGTTGATGTTGGGTGTCAATGTGTATGCTTATTGGTATTGGGCGTTAGTTGGTGGTCATATTTGTTGGTGTTGGGTGTTGTGGTGTATGTTGGTTGGTGTTAGGTATCTGTGATGTGTGTTGGTCAGTGTTGGATGTATGATTATGGTATGTGTTGGGTTTCAGTTGGTTGCGTGTATTGTTGTTTTGTGTCATTTGGTGTTGTGTTGCTTGGTGCTGTGTGTCAGTTGGTAGTTAGGTTGCCATTGGTTGTGTATGCTGTTGTTGGTGGTGCCCATTGGTGGTGTCCATTGGTGGTGCGTGTGGCCGGTCCTGTGGGTTATCACTGGGCAGTGTTTTGCTGTGAAGGAGGCCATCATGGCTTCTCCAGCCCAGGTCAGTCACCTCAGGCAAAGCTTGCAGCAGGGGAGCAGATGCCCTCAAGCCCTGTGCACATATTATTGGGGCCGTTAAGCCCTGGTTTTCCGTGATCTGCTCCTCAGCAGCAGACAGTGAATCATCCATCGTCTCTGGCTAATCTTTGTCTAATCACACTTCATTTCATGAGGTTGTGATTCTGTCTTCCCCTCTGTATTCATGAGTTGGTGTCACCCTGTAAAGGGCCTCTGCTTCCAGTTCTGTCTCTGTGATTCTCCGTCTCCTGGCATCACTGAGTTCCACTGAATTACAATATTTTATTCGGGGCCGGGTGTGGCTCAGGGGTGAGCACTTGCCTAGCATGAGAATGGCCTTGGCTCCCATCTCAAACACTCCAAAAATAACCAATGCATTATAATAAATTGGATTTGTTATGATTTTTAAGAAAAGCTTTCCTTGAAGCTCAGAACTCGTGTTGCCTGCTGCAGGGGGCCGGGCACTGAGTGCTGTTGGGCCTGGGTGACTGAGGAAGCTCTGGATCCTCCAGCCCCGAGGCTCCTGGGTGTGCGCCTGGCCTGGAAGTGTTGGGGTTTGCCTGGACCCTAGCTGGCAGGCAGGGCTGGGGCTCTGAGCCAGCTCCCAGCTTCGTCACAGCGGGGCCACGCCAGGTGCAGCCAGCGTGACACTGATACGGATGAACAGAGAAGCGCCCATTGTCTGGCACCCACTTCCCCGTGAAGCACCCAGCTGGGTGCAGCCAGCGTGACCCTGATATTAGCATTGGCTTCCATGGCTGCTGTGGAGGACACAATTGCTTGGGCCTGAGAGCCCACGCACTGTGAGACGCGTATGTTTCGTCTCCTGTTGGAAAGGTCAGTTTTCAAGACACATCCTGCTGCTGTCAAGGCGCCTGGTTCCTTGTGGCTGGACCTCAGCCATAGCAGTGTCTCTGATGGTGGCTGGTGGCCGTTCTGAGCCCCAACACCTGCCCTGACTTCTCACTGCCCAGCACCTGCCTCCCCAACACCCACATCAGCCCACCTGTCTGCTGTCCACAGCACAGCTGCCCCGGCACCCACACCGGGCACAGTGCTTGCCTCCCCCGCTGAGTCCACCTGGCCTGGCGTTGGCTCCATGGCTGGGGTCCAGGCTGGGCAGGCTTCCGTGATGTCACACAGGAGCTGGGCGCTTCCGGGCTCTGCTTGAGGATCCCCAGGGTGGGTTTGTCCCCCTGGTTTTCTTGCTGTGGCTCTCAGATGCTCTCTGAGTGTTTCTTCTGGTGCCCTGTCCACTCCGACCAGGCAGGGACAGAGGATGGACACTGTAGAGCAGCCGGACACTCCCTGCAGCTGGGAGGGAGGCCATTGTACCGGAGGACCCTGGTCTGCAAGGGAATGGCGGGGAGTGGACACTGGGAAGCCACTAACAGCCCCACGGGCTCCCACCTGCCTGCATGAACATTGCCCCAAGAGGCACATCTGCCCACATGCTTCTGTGTGCCAGCCTCACATGTGGGTCCCTGAGGTGCCCAGGAAAACTCCAGAAAGTGGAAGGTGCATTTGAGACACAGACCATGGGACCAAGGGAGTCTGTGAGACCGCAGACTGAATACAAAGCCTAGGGTGGAGAAGCAGCAACCATCAGAATCATCCCCAAATAGACCACATGCTCCAGGGCAGCCAAGACGCCCAGGGAGTTACTGACAATTTTAATCTCTTCTTTAAAATGTAAGATTATCTACAGTGCAAATATATCGTGTTCTACTTGGGACCAGTTGCCTTTTCAGGTTTTGATTAGTCAGAAAAATGAGAAAAAGATGAAAATTCAAGAGTAGGAGTTAACCCCCCCACACACACACACGTTGGGGGAGGCCTTCTGTGCACGCTGTAGGAGCAGCGGGTCCTTTGATGGAGGGGCGATCACAGCTCAGGGCTGGAGAAACCAGGAAAGAAGCAGAGAGGCCGCATTTTACGAGGTGGGCAATGCAGGCCCCGCCCCAAAGCCCAAGGCGGCTGAGAGCGCAGGGTGGGGGCTGGGCCGTTCTCAGCTCCCAGAGGCCTCTTAATAGTGCAGCATCGCCCCCACTGGAGTGAGTGTGGGTCTCAGCGGGCCTCTGAGTGGACTGCCCCTCGCTCATTGTTCTCAGCCGCCCCTTCCTCTCCTGGGAGAGGGGGGCAAGAGCAGCAGCCCCTGGTGGATGACCAGGCTGGCAGGAAGAGCTCCACTCCCAGGTCCTCCTCCCTCTCCGAGCTTCACCAGGGAGCTGGAGTCAAAGGCTGCCCAGATGATGCCAATGATCCCAGCCCAGAGAGGGCTTCCAGAGCAGGGCTGGGTTGGAAGGATGAGGGAGGCTCCTGGTCTGCAGCCCACCTTGGGTGTCTCCAGCCCCACAGAGTAGCTGCCATGTGCAGAATTTGTGGGCTGGAGGCCAGCAGATGTTCTATCCTGGCTGGGCCTCAGTTTCCTAGGAGTTCGGGAGAGGTTCACCCAGCCTGGGCTCAGTGGCACCGCACTAGGGCTCTCCCTTGGTCTCCGCCTCCCTCCGTCCTTACTGATGGGGTCTTGCTGGAAAGGGTCTCTCTGGTGATCGTTGTGGGGACGATTCCTGGCTGGAACTCCTGTTCCTGCTCACCTCTCCTCAGCTGCACAGTGAGGACGTCGGGCTCCCCAGGAAGGAGAGTTGGGCTGGGAGCTGAGCGTGACCCCTTCAGGTGTGGCCACTTCCTCCCTTGCTGACCCCTCAGGGAAACCTGCAGTGGCCCCTCCTGCACCAGCCTTCTGGATCTGGCTGCAGAGGAGCCCACGAGGAGCTTCCAGCACAGGTGTCCGGGGGAGGCTGGCGAAGCTCCTCAAGGCCATGTCCATGGCATCGAGTGGGCAGCAGGACCGGAATGACTTGGGTCCAGCAGCCCCCAGGCCCGTTCCTGTTTGTGTGATGTTCACTGTGACCTGGTGCAAGTTGTGACACAAAGTGTTCTGTGTTCAGAGAAGCTGGGGCCTTGGAGGAACTGGAGGAGAAACAAGAGCCAGAAGGCAAACACAAACTTTCCTGGGACTCATCCGCTCAGCAAACAAGCACTCTCAGGCCTCCTGCCGCACCCAGGCTCCGGGTCAAGTGCAGATCCGCTGCCCTCAGCCACCTGTGATGCACTCGGCCACATCCAGAGGCCTTCGCCATGCTGGGCCTGGAGGGACGAGGAGCCTGGTAGTGTGGGAGATGTGCACCTGAGCAGTCCCAAAGCTGTCACTCATGGGACAGGCACCAGGACCTGTGACAGGGATGTGCGGGGTCAGCTGTGACAGGCCCCAGCCCAAGAGGTCTCTCTAGGCCAGGCAGTCAGGGATCTTCCTGCCAGGGAAGAGACTGTGCTGGGCTTTGGGCTCTGGAATGGAGAAACAGAGAGACACGCAGGACCTCACAGGCTGAATAGACACAGACCCAGGCAGCGGGGATGCAGGGCCAGTTCCTGGAGCCCTCAGGAATCAGGACACACGGTGGGGACAATGACACAGAGTGGACTCCGGAGTCCAGGAATGAGGCCCTTGTCTGGCTCACCTGTCAACTGCAGAGGGGCAGGACCGACTTCGGCAAGGTCACTGGAGTCCCTTCTGAGTCCTCCCTCAGTTACATGCGCTGATGTAGTGTTTCATGTCACTGCACCATGCAAGGCTCTGCTACCAAGAGGGGGAGAGCAGTCCAGGCTATGATCATGTGGGGTGGTGGGACAGTGGGTGACCGTCACCCCAGGGTCTAAAATCTCATAATGCCTGTTGCTTAAAGGTGATGTCAAGAAGCAACTGGAGGGCCGGGGATTTAGCTCAGTGGTTTCACCACCTGCTGCGCAAGCACAAGGACCCAAGTTTGATCCCCGGTACCAACAAAAAAAGAAAAGAAGCAACTGGAAGAGGGCACTGTGTCCAAGCAGGAGAAAGGGCCTTTCCCCTAAGCACACTCAGGACTCATCCTTGGCAATTTAGGATTTCTCCTTAGACCCAAAAGGTGGCTCATGCCCCTGCAGCAGAGACACATGCACCCTTGTCTCGGGTGGTCAGTCACAGCCCAAAGGCTGGCATGCTCCTTGAGCCCAGCGAGATCTGGGCACCCAGGAGCTGGGCCCCAGATGATGGGGGGTAGGCTCTGCCCACAGCCCCGCCTGAGGGTCCCCTGTCCCCCACCACCTTCTGTTGCTTTGGGGCACTGGGTTTTCAGTGCCTTAGAAAACATGAAAGTGACACACGGAACTGGGGAAAGAGGAATATGCGGTGTCCCTGGCCTCCCTGTCCCGTGTAAATGCAGACACAGGGCCAGCAGTCCAGGACACTGTCTCTGTGACACCCATTTCCTAATCATGACACCAGCTCTGGGAACAGACGTGAGAATGAGCAGAACCAGGCGCCCACTCCGACCTTAGAAAATCCACACGGTTTCAGGTACTTGCTTTGGATTATTTCAGATGAGTGCTAAACCTACTGACGTAACCAGGGCTAGATCGATGTGGTGGGGCTATGAATTTCTGTAAAATCTGGAGGACTCTTTAGAAAAAAATAATAATAATCAGGAATCTAAATTTGATATGAAAATATTTTGTATACAGAAAAATTCCCAAAATTCACATGAGAAAGAGCTGGCTATTACAATAACCATCACTGATACAGGAGATAGGGCTGGTGAAGCTGGCACGGGAAATGAGTGGAATTTGTCAGTTACGAGATCCCAGGATAGCGCCAAATAATTCCCAGGTCCCCGGGTGTGGAACTTCTCGTGGGCTCGCACAAAATGTGAGAAGTGGGCAGCATAAAAGAGCCCAGTCGCGGGGGAGCATATGCTGCAAGCTCCTGTGAGTCGTCACGGAGCCTGTCCTGCGTCTCCTGCCAGGGTGCGCTTTTATTTTTCCTTTTATCCTTTCATTTGTTCGGCCCAGTTAGCTCTGCAGAGCTAGTTCTTCCCATACCCCATTCACATTTTTCAAATAAACTTTGGTACCTTTCTTGGCTCGTCTCATCCAATTTGTTGTTCAAGGCAAGAAGGACCTGGATACCTCCAAGTGCAGAGCCATGTTTAAAGGAACTACTCAGCATCCCCCCCTTGAGGGGCATGGAATTTGGTTACTTACTGCCTGGCATACCTGTTAAAACTTCGTGTACCTTTTGGCTGCTACCCCTGGTCTTGGCTTCCTAGGAAGCTGAATTTACAGGATGTCCTGTAAGTAGAATAGAAAGATGATGCAGGCTTTCCCCTCTGCGGGATTGGAAATCCGGTTTTATGCCAATCAAGGGGGCATGTTAACCGGGCAGCCTCCCACCTCGATGTCCTCGCGAGGATTCGTGTAGGTTTTGCCCCGCGCGGAAGAAGCCCGGTCAGTTCTTGTTGGGCTCGCACCATGCAGAAGCCCGAGATGGTGCGGTGCATGGACACTGGTGCATGGTCAAGAGCAGGGGGAGGACAGCTCTTCCACTCCTTCCCTCCTGTCTGGCTTACGTTTTGTCTCTGAAAGTTTACACAACTTTAGAATCTACCTTTGGGTCACAAAGGGGTTATCCCATCTTTTACAGGTCCTTAAACTTTTGATATATGTACTTTTTTTTTTTTTTGCAGTTCTAGGGATCAACCCATGGGCACTCTACCACTGTTTTTTGTTTGTTTTTGCTTTTTTTTGTTTTTTGGGTTTTTTTGGTACCAGGGATCGAACTCAGGCCCTTGCACTTGTGAGGCAGGTGGCGGCACCACTGAGCTAAATTTTTCATTTTTTTCTTATTTAATAAATGCATCTAAGGCTACTGACCTCTCCCCATGGTTTTTTAGTTACATCTTAGCTCTGTCTTTTAATTTTGATACTTTACTAACATGCTTGTGGCTTCTCGGTGCTAAATATTTTAAGGATTTTATCAGTTTCCTCTCTAACCCCTGAGTTACCCCAGAGTGCATTCTTAGGGTTCGTATTCAACTTTAGGCAACACTGTGCTCCTTGAAACCAGAAGGAGCAGGCTGTGTGAGGTTGGCTGTGGGGTATTCTTGTGTCCCTGGCGGGTGATGTCTCCATAACCATTCCACCTGTACTTAAAATGAATGGGCTCTTCAGGTGTTGGGGTAGGGTCATTGTAGAGTTTATGTTTCATTTCTTTTCTCTAACAACTGTTAATAATCTATCCTTGTGTTGAATTTCTGGAATCTTGACTATTATGTGTCTTGGTGTAATTGTTTTTGATCATGGATACTTGGAGTTCTATATGCCTCACTTTTCTGGATATCATATTCTTTTTCCCTGCTTGGGAAGTTTTCTGCTGTTACTTCTGTAAACAGGGTTTTTCTGTCATTTGTGCTATTTCCTGCTTTTTCATGGACTCCAGTCACTTTTATGTTATTCTTCTTTGCATCATCTAGCAGCTGTTGGATTGATTTTTCATAGTCCCTCACTATTTTTAAGAAATCTTTCATTTGATGGTCACTAACCAAAATCCTGTCTTCTGTATCTGATGTTCTGTCCTCACATTGGTTCATCCTAATGCATATACTTTCAATGGAGTTTTTAATCTCCTGGATATCTGTTTGAATCTGTTTCATAGATTCTATTTCTTTCCTATGTTGGGCATTCACGATTTTCATCATTTTCCTAAGCTCCACTTTTTTGTCTGTATTTGAGCTAGAGCCCAGTGGGCTGAGTAGGCTGCAGCCCCTTCACCAGTCTGTGCTCCTGGCCCACTGCGATCTCTTGTTCGTGTGTGTGCTCACATGTGTGCTCAGCTATGCATGGTGTCTGTGTGAGCCCACCCCATCTTGCTTTCCCTTTGTCTGAGCTGCCGCTGCTGCGCAAGTGTCCCAGGCACTCCCTGCCTCAGTGAACCCACGTCCCCTGTCCACACAGCAGGTCTGTCTTCTCCAGGAGAAGCTGCGCTTAAGGGACGCAGGAAGGTCACGGAGACCAGAGCCCAGGGCTCTGACTCCCCCCAAGCCCTCTGTGGCAGTGCACACATCAGTCAGCCAGCGAGGGCCTGTGCAGTGGGCCTCAGGGCCAGCTTCCCCACACATGCCCTCGGGGCTCCACACTCTGGGGCTGCACCCCATGCGCCCCTTCCTGCCAGGCTCTGCAAGCTGCCCCTCTGGACGCTGGCCCTGGCCTGTCATCCTCTGGGGAGTAACTGGCTGGATTCAGCAGCTCCAGCAAGTGTGACACTTTCCTGCTCCACTGCAGAGCTGGCCCCGGTGTAGGTGTGTGAGTGTGCAGCCAGGAAGGGACCTGTTGGTCCTGCTTGCCGAGTTCCTGGGACCCCTCGGAGCTGTATAAAGGGCGACCAGCCGAGTGAGGACCCAGCAGAGCTTCTCCGGCCTCCGTGAGCTCTTGGATACCCGGAGTGCAGACCTTGAAGATGAAGACCTTGATCCTGACCTTCGGCCTCGGCCTCCTCGCTGCCCTGCGGGCCCAGGACCTCCCGGGGGTGGAGGAGGAGAACCAGGAAGTGAGGCTCTGAGGGGCAGGGGCTGTGGGGCAGGGAGAGGCGAGACTGCCTGGTGGGACCCCATCCGCCCCCATCCAAGGAGCCCCTCACTTAGGGTTCGGCCTGAACCCTGCCCGAGGGAGCGTCAGACGGGCCAGAAGGCGTGTGGGCGGATGGGCATGGGGTGCAGACGGCTGGTGGGAGGTGGGGCCCAACTTCACTTCCCCCAGAGTGGGAGCGAGGGCCTGGGAGCCAGCACCCCGAGGGCCTGATGGGAGTGGTGGGGCTGCTCCAGGTCCCCTGCCCTTGGGGGGCTAGGTGGGGTCTGGGGGCTGCAGATGAGGGGAGCAGGGGCCCCGGGGGTCAGCTGAGGCTGACAGAGGCGCCTTCTCCAGGTGTCAGGGACAGGGACGTGGTATCTGAAGGCTGTGGCTTCTGACAAGAAGATTCCCGGGAAGAATGAGTCTCTGTCTGTGACCCCCATCATGGTCAAGAGCCTGGAGGGGGGTAGCGTGGAGTTGAAGTTCACTGTGCTGTGAGTGTCAGAAGGTCACACGGCCGCACTGCCCGGGGTGGGGGGCCCTTCTCAGCCCCTGGGGCTTTGGGGGTCACTGTGCCTCTGGGGGGAGCCCCAGGGAGAGGAGGAAACCCGGAGCAGACCTTGTGGGCCGCACGGGCAGTGCCCATCTGTCCCCTGAGAGAGGCTGCTGTGTGCTGCACAGACTCTTTCTGGTCAGGTGTTTCACTCCCAGCCCCGGGTCACAGCTGGGTGAGGGGGCTCCCTCAGACTCCAGCCTGAACCCCTCCTAGGAAATTCCTGCTGTGCAGACCAGCAGGGAAGGGTTTGCATGGCCAGGTCCTGCAGAGAGGCCTTAAAATCCCTGTGCATCTCCCACCTGCGTGAATTCCACCCATGCGGCTCCCACGGTTTATTCCCACCCGCATGGCTCCCATCTGCATGGCTCGTGCCTCTGCATCTCACAGCTGTGTGCTGCCCCCACTTCTCTCTGGCTCCCTCCCGTGCAGCTCAGATCTGCCCAGCTCACGTGTTTACGTCTTGTCGCACATCTCTGAGGCTCCCACCTGGATGACGTCTGTCTGTGCTCCCGTCCTGGGAACCTTCCATGAGATAGCCAATGACCTTGGAGTTTGCACTTCCTTTGTCCCCGAAATCCCCCACATGAAGCTTCCCTCAATGGTCCAGGTGACAGTGGATGTGAGGCCGGTCCCTGAATGTCTCCAGAGACAGAGGCCAGATGACAGGACCGGGCAGGGGGAGGTTAGGGCACTGGCCGGTGGCCACAGATGACATCTGCAGACCACACAGCCAGGTTCCTTCTGGCAGCGAGCAGGAAGTGTGGACACCGCATGACACAGGGGCTGCCATGGGGGACACGGAGGACCCGGCTGGAGCCTGGACTCGAGAGGCAGCAAGGCCACTCCTCCTTGGACTTGTCCTGGACCCAGGGCACCTGGAGGGCACAGACAGGGCTGCTGTGAGCGGGGGTAGCACCTGGCACCTGTGTGGCCCATACAACTTCTGTTTTCCAGGGTCGGAGGTCAGTGTCATGAGATCAGTGTCATCCTGGAGAAAACAGACGAGCCGGGCAAATACACAGCCTGTGAGTCCCAGGGCCTCCTACAGCTGTGTCAACCATGCACAGGAGCAGTGGGGCAGCTGGCACCTCCCGGGTGGCCTTTGGGCTCAGATCTTTTCTCTCCTCTGATCCTATTATGCGCCCAACCTCCCCTCTCACTGGCCAGTTTGCCTTAAAGTCCAAACACCTGGGCCCATATACTATACCTTGTGTGGTGAGTTTGTCCCCAGAAGGGACTGAACTGTCCAGTTTTCCCCACTGGCTATGGCTGAGGCAGGCGCACAGCTGTCCTTGGCTGGAGTGGACTGAGGTGCCCAGCACCATCCTCTGCAAGCCTCCCTGTTGCTCACTGATTTGGGATATGACCATCTCTCCAGGGTGGTGTTGGGGACTCCATGGCCTGGGGTTAGATCTGGGGGGGCCTGGATCAGGGATTCTTGGGTAGTGGGGTGGGTGGGCAGTCAAGGGTTTTGCCAGGCTGTGTGCCAGGCCATCTCAGATCCCTGCTGAAGGATCAAAAAGTTTACCCAGGACTTGCCACTGTTTCCACAGATGAGGGCAGGCATGTGGTGTACGTCATTCCTTTGTCTGTGCAGGACCACTACGTCCTCTACAGTGAGAACAACTGGGTCAGGCATCAGATCCGAATGGCCAAACTCCTGGGTGAGTCACCTCACCTGTCACCTGGCACCTGGCAGCCTCCAGCTGCAGCTCTCCCCTTCCTCCCTTTCCTCCTCCCTCCTCTCCCCTAGAAGCCACTGGGGTCCAGGGCCCACATGCAGTGTCCCTAGGATAGGCTCTACTCCCACCCACAGCCAAGGATTTGGGGTCCCGTCTGGGTCTCTGCTATAGGAAGGCAGGAAAGACAAGCTGCTATGGGCACAGGGAGACAGATGTCACAGATGTCACAGGATGAGCCAAGGACCAATGGGTGGAAACTGCAGTGTCATCCAGGAGCTCCGTTCCAGCAGCGGGTGGGACAGGTTTGGGAAGAAGAGCCTGTGCTGAAAGTGACCCGAGCAGACACCGGGCTCAGTGTGGTTCCTACCCAAAGGCAAGGCTTGAGTCTTGAGCTCCTCCCCAGCAGGTGTGTGAGTGTGGAGCAGCAGGGGGCCTGGGTCCCCTCCAGGGCGCACTGGTCCTGGTCCGTGCCTGGCAGGCCCTGCAGCGCCTCGTGTTCCCATCCTACCCAGGCTCTCCGCCCCAGCCTCCAGCTCAAGCCCCCAGGGGTTGACCAGGTCCCTCCCCAGCCAGAGCTGCCATCCTCCAGGCTGGGGCGGAGGTGCCCGCAGGCCCCACTCTGCGGCTCACAGTGCTGTCTTGCCCTGGCCTCACCCGCAGGCAGAGACCCGGAAGTCAACCAGGAAGCCCTGGAGGAGTTTGAGAAGGTGGTGGAGGCCAGAGGCCTCAAGACAGACAGCATCTCCATCCCCAAGCAGAGGGGTAGGAAGGGCACCGCGCTGCCCGCCCCGGGGTCACTGAGGAAGGGCCAGGCGCAGCTGGCTCTGGGTCTCCTCGCTGGGGCCCGGGAGATGCTGGCTGACAGAGGCTCCCGGGGTCCTGTGGAATTCCCGGGGCCCCAACCCTGGTTTTCTCTCTTCAGCAGAAGCCTGCTCTCCAGGAAGCGCCTAGGGTGAGTCTCAGGGACACTCCCGAGTCCCTCCGGCGTGGCTGCGACGTCCCTCGTGGGCCACCTCACCTCCAGGTCCTGTCTGGCAGGAGAGGCCCCTCCTGGCCGGAAGGGCGGACCTGCTCCTGGCCCGCGGCCCTCGGCATGGCTTCCGCTTCCTCCCGGGATGCCGCTCCGGTGGCCGGGCTGCTGACAGTCCCTGGCCCTTGTCCCCAGCATCCTTATGCCCTCCGGTGGCCAGGTGGAAAGTTCCTCCTCAGACCCCTGGTCCTCAGTGGTCCCCGTGACTCTGTTGACCCCGAGTTGCCTTAAAGTCACGCGGCAGCCACGGCTGCGGCCTTGGAGCTCCGGGGCCCTCAAGCCGCCTGGTGCTGGGAGAGTGGAGGCTCCGAGCCTGCCCACGCTCACTGCGCAGGCGCGGCAGAGCAGACGCCAAGGCGCCCGGTCCTTCCCTTGTCCCCAGGTGACTGGCGGAAGTCACCTTCCCCTCTTCCCCGCGAGTGTGGAGCTCTGCGGGCCGAGCCCCCTCTTCCCTCTGCCCCGCTCCCCGGGACAGGCCGGGGCGGCCCTGGCCTCCCGGCGTCACCCCCGCAGCTCCCTGGCCTCCCTCCTGGCCTCGCTGACCTCCCCTCCTTTCCAGGCCGGAGAGCCGGGCTCTGAAGCGGCCGTGGCGGCCCCACCGGAGCCCCCCCGCGACACACACCGGCCAGCCCCGCCGCCTGCCTCCCCGCGCCCCTCTCCCGTTCCGGAATAAACAGCTTCAGCCGCTCCCGGACTCTTCCTTCCTGTCTGTGGGGTCCGGGGAGCCCCAGGGGGACTTCTGAGAGGGGAGCGGACGGGGAAGTGGGCGGAAAGGACCCGAGGGTCCAGCGCGTCCCGGTCTCCTGCGGGTGCTGCTGGCCAGGGCGAACGGGGCCCAGCGCTGGGGTGGTGGCTGGCAGCTCTGCCTGGGTCCTGTGGTGCTTTGCAGGTGCGCGACCTCCGAGCCTGGGTCTGGGTGGAGGCTGTGAGTGGAGAGGGTTGTGAGGAAGACAGGTCAGGACTGGAGGGGCTCCAGCCCGCAGGGGAGGACTGGCTGGTTCCCCCCACGGGCGCTGAGGGGGAAGTGGGGAGGGGACAGAGGGGACTTCACACTGGAGGGCTCTGGAAGGGCAGACCAGGGCTCTGGGCCCCTGGCCACCAGCGAGAATCACCCCAGTAGCTTTTCAACAACATCAGATGCCTGGCGGAGGGTCAGGGCGCCCCCAGGGCCAGGCATGTGCGAAGGGGCCTGCCTGTCACTCCCGAGAGACTACCTAGGCCTCTTGGCCCTGCGCCCTCTCATGTCACCAAGGACGTGTGCACACCCAGACCGCACTCAAGCCCTGACTCATAACCCCGCCCGTCACCCAAGGGCAACGCGCCCTCTTTTGACCCCCAAACCTGAAGCACCAAACGCTGTTAACACTAAACGTGAAGAGGCCCTGATGTTCAGAGCTCAGAACTCTAACACCGAGGGCTCAGAGCTGCTGCGCTCAAACCCTGGAGCCGCCACCACTAAGCAAGCTGTGCTTTGCCAGTTTGGGATTTCTGTCCACACAGAAAATCACAGTTGATGGGTGACCCATGGAGCACCTGCGGGGAGAGGCCGTGTGCCTCTCTGTCCGGCATTGCTGGTTTCCCTGGTGGGGCAGAGAAGTTTGCCCAGGTGGATGTTAAAGGGGACCCCTCCACTGTGGACAGACACCGACAAGGCCTGATGGGTGGGGCAGGCAGGCAGCTCAGCCAGCCCAGTTGACAGCTGAGTAAGCCAGAAGCCGAGCCACCTCTGGCTCAGGTCCAGGAGCCCTGCTCCAAGCTCACTTTCTGCACCTGTTCAAGAGTATCAGTGATGGCAGGGGCTGGACAACCCCATCAAACCTCCTTAGCTCACCTGGCCTCTGGAGCCCTTTGTTAGTTTTCTGACTTTGTGGAGAAACTTTGTGAGGGAACAGAGTGGGGTCGCTCTTTGGTGAGTGCAAAGACGGAAAGCACAACCAGGGGAAGTTATGTTATCTGCAGCAAGTACACAGAGGTGTAAAACACAAGCGGTGAGGGGATCGAACTGGGGAGGCTCGGCCTCACAGGCAGTCTCGAGTGCATCTGGAAGCTTCTTCAGACAGTCCAGGTTTACACATGGCAGGTGGGTGCCTCTGGGGCGGAGAATTTAGCAATATGAGGAGCTTGTGCCAAGCAGTGCTGACTCTACAGGGCCTCATCTAAAAGAGGATTAGGTGACTCTGGGTGATCGGAACTTCTCAGACAGCCTTATGTGAAACAGTGAAGCAGCTTGAAGGTGTGTTGGTAGTCAGCAGGTCTCTACCCCTCCAGCAATAAGCAACAGGGACTGAACCTGTAACTTCTTACCTAGCAGCTGACTGTTGTACAGTGTCTCCTGGTGGGAAGTCTGGACCTCACTGTTAGCACTGAGGGTCTTTGGGTCGTTCCCTTTCTTTTAGACCATAGGAACCAATCACCTGGCAACGCCTCCACACTTGAGATACAGAGAGCTTGAACAGCCACCAACTCCAGAGACATTGTGCCCCAAATCCAGGGGAGCAGCCAGCTGCAGGAAGGAGTCTGAATCTGAAGTGGTTCCCGGGGGTCACCCACAGGCCTCAGTGAGGGAGGGTTGCCCTGCTTTCCAGCTCATCCCTCTGCTAGTGAATTGAGAGCCTCAACTATAGTGAGCTGGACTGGAACTAGGTTTCCAAGCAGGGGACACAACCTCCCAGAAGGCTGGCCTGACTACGGCCCTTCCAGAAGGCAGCTCCCCTTGGGCTACTCTGACAGGCTATCTTTAGCTTGTGGTTCTCTGCTGGGGCTCAGCATTGAGGTAGGTTGGGGAGCAGAAGGACCTACAGATCAGGATGGGGTGTTCTCTGGTGTGTGTAGATCCAGTGTCTGTGTTGGTGTGTATGTAGGGCCTCTCTTCTGTGGATAAAGCAAGAACCTTTTTGGTGTTTGGGGGATGTGGGGGCCCTGAGTCCTGGCAGCAAGGTGGGCTGTGTGGGGCTCCTCTGGTCTTTGCCCTACTGCTGCCACCAAAGAGCCATCCAGACCCTGGTCCTCTTCATGTCCACAGGCCCAGTCCCATGCTGTCCTTTCCTCAGTGACTCCTTGCCTGACGCTCCCAAGCCCAGAGGTAAAACTTAGATGCTCTGAGTCTAGTCCATGCTTTTTGCTTACTACACTGGACCCTTGACTTGCAAACTCAGTTCGTTCTCGAGGGTTGGTTGTAACTCAAGGTGATAGACTGAAGGCTCAGGCTCCTCTGCACAGCCATCAAAGTCTCTTCCTGTATACAGGCAGATCTCAGTGTCCTTAGAGAGACACTGGCCAGGATGTCTCAGTTAACCCCACACAGGAAAGGATGTTGTCATGTTCTTTCCAGAACTCTTTAAGGGTTAGATCTGTACATGAGATCATTTGGAAGCACAAGCAGCTGGCTTTCGGGTCGTAACTCAAGACTTTGTAAATGAAAACAAATTCTGGTTGTAGCCCAAGTTGTTCACGTGTCAGGCCAATCGTAACTTGAGGGTCCTCTGTAATTGTGAGGCTGTTACCAAATTCCATTCCCTCCTCCAAACTTCCATTTTCCCACCCATAATATGCAGGTCATATTTCCTGCAGGACCTTGAGAAAATAACAGAGGACCGTGGATGTGAAAGCTCTTGGCTGAAGTGGAAGACTGCGTCAGTGAGTGTGAGTTCCAGACGCTGCCGCTGGACAGAGCACAGTGTGGTCACCAGGACTCACTGCTCAGCTGCTGTCCCTCCTGTCACTGCCCTTGGGTCCCTGTGAACGGAAGACGGTCAGGGTCAGGGGATGAGGAGTCACAAGTCCACAAAAGACTGATGATATTTTTGGAAACGTTGAACTCTATTCTCAGGTTCCTGTGTCAAAGTGGAAAGCAGGCTGCATACGTCCACCGCACACAGAACTGCATTTAGCAATGTAGCAGTGCATAAAGTTATTTGCTGTAACCTGAACTTGCCATAATTAAATTTCATTGCAAACACTGTTGTGGTTTGGAACATTTCACAGATAAGCTGGTTTTCACCTAGAAGACACATACTTCGCTTGTTTTAATGAGCAGTCAAATCCACCGAAATCGCTAAATCTGTGAGTCATTTTTCATCTTCAGATGTAGGCACAAGCTTTCCTTTTGATCCTATACATGATTTTTTTTTCATTTTTCAGATCAGAAGATCTTTTCAACATTTTCCTCCAACTTAGCTACCTCCTTTTACAAAAGTAAACAGTGTCCCCATAATCATCATTCATATTTCTAAGGGACTCCTGGCATTGGCAGTGATTTAGTTCCCTGGGCTTTATGAAATTCACAGTTTGATAATGATTGGCTTGACACTGTCCATTTTTAAAACTGATACGTTTGAACTTTCTTACTGTACAAAGCAGTGATGTTCCACCAAACATGGGTTTCTGGAGCAAGTGCGTCGTCTTCTCCTCCTGTTGTTAAGTCCCTCTTTATTTTTTACCACCAGGGCGCCATCAGTAACTACTCCAGATATATTGACAACGTTTAAAGGAAGGTGCTTTCATGTAATTTATACTGCGCCATGGACATCGGGACACTTAGTGGCAGCAAAGAAGCGCCGTGTCTTCATAGACATTTATAGTCATCATCAGTATCTCAAAGAAAAATGGCAAGTCCGACTCTACCTGTAGTATCTACTTTCATCCATCACCAAAGCATGCAGTTAGAAACCAGCAGCTCTACTCTTCAGATCTCTTTTGATATATTTTTCTGTTTGTGCACGTCACCTGGGTGTTATCTGATAAGGCAAGTTGATTCTAAAAGAATCCGCTTTTTATTGGGACAAATTATATCTGCTATGCTTTCCACACATTGCTTAGTTATCGCGACATCAGTAAATGGTGTTGATTTTTTTGCAGTTAAATTTCCTACCGCATAACTAGCTTTTATATTACAGTGTATTTGAGGTGCAGCTTGAATTTTTGTTGTTGTTGAGATGACAGAATTTCTTTCCGTTGTGCTTTTAGTTTTTGTGAAATAGTTCTTTGTGTACACTGAATTTGGCAGCATATTTTTCGTATATTGTCTCTCCAAATTGTAATCTTTGAAAACTCACATGATTTCCTTGTAAATTAAACACAGGGCTTTTTGATCAATCCCCAAAAAGTAATCATCTGCCCATTTTCACTGATTATACGTCCTGCACCCATGGTTTTTCTTTTGGGGGTTCTGTTTTCTTTTGGGGCAACATTGAATCCATGCTGGAATAAAAAATAACAAATAAGCAAACATTTTTCTAGTGGTAGTGATGTTGTATATGTAATTGCAACAATATCATGAGCAAAAAATAATGGCATGCATTTTAAAATCATACTTTGGTAGTGCATGCTAACATTACTGCTGGGGTTTATTTGGGAAGTTGGCACGTGCTTTTAATCTATTTATGTTTTCGGTACAGGAATTGAACTCAGGAACTCGTGCTTGCCTGGCAGGTGTGGTGCCGCTGAGCCACATCCCTGGCCCACTTTTAATCTATTTTAATCAATTTTGATCCCAGAATGCTCCATTGCAGTCCTCTTTGCAATCTCCAGAAGTCTACCTCCTTCTTTCCCCCTCATTTTCATCACTATTTACGTATTCTTTAGGTTTCTAATATATGAGAAAATGCAATATTTAACTCTCTGGTACTGGCTAATTTCACTTAACTTAATTTCACCCATTTTCCAGAGAGTGGCACAATTTCATTTTTCTTTATGGCAGAGTAATATTCCTTCGTGTGTCTATACCACATTTTCTGTATCCATTTACCTGTTCACAGTCTAGACTGTTTCCACAGCCTAGCTGTAGGACCAGCACAGTATACGTGTATCACTGTAGGCTTCAGTCCTTAATTCTTTTGTAAATATGCCCGATAGTGGTATAGCTGGGTCAAGTGGGATTTTTATGTTTAGTCCTCTGAGGGATCTCCATATTTATTTCTATAGTTGTACTAGTTTACATGCTTACCAAAAATGTAGGAAGACTCCTCCTGTCAGCATTCCTGTTTTTCATGTTCTTGATAAGAGCCACTCTGACTGATAATAATGGGTGGCAACTCAAGAAACTTTTTTTGTTTGTTTGTTTCTTTCTTTTTGGTACCAGAGATAGAACTCAGGACCTTGTGGTTGTGGGGCAGGTGGTGAAACCACTGAGCTAAATCCCCGGCCCCAACTCAATAAACTTTTAATTTGCATTTTTCTAATGGCTAGAGATGTTGAACAGTTTTTATGTACCTCTGGCCATTTGTATTTTGAGGAATAGCTATTCAATTCACTTGCCCATTTTAAAAAATTAGATTCATTGTTTTCCAGAGGTTCATTTTTAAAGCTATTTATACACCCTAGATATTAGTCTTCTGTCAGAAGAGTAGTTAGCAAAGACCCCCATTCACTGTCCTGTCTCTTTGCTACTTTGTCTCCTTTCCCATGCACAAGGTTTTTCATTTGCTGTGGTCTTAATTGCTGATTCTTGATATTATTTCCTGTCTTTTGAAGTCCTGTTCGGGAAGTCTTAGTCTGTCTGTGGCTTTAAGTTTTTCTCCCATGTTATCTCCAGCAGTGTCCATGTTTCTGGTTTTATATCTAGGCCTTTGATCCGTTTAGATTTGGCTTTAGCACAGGGTGAGAGATGGGGCTCTAGTTTCAGTTTTCTGCATATGGCTGTCCAGTGCCCCCACTGTTTCTGAAGGATACAGTCTCTTCTTCAGCATATGGTTTTGTCCACTTTGTCAAAACTCACATGGGTGTAGATGTTTGAATCTGGTTCTATGTCTTCTATTTTACGGCAATGGTCTAGAAGTCTATACCATGCTGTTTTCGTTGCTATGGCTTTATAGTTTGAAGTCCAGTGTAGTGGCGCCTCCATGTTACTTTTTAAGCTCAGGATTGCTTTGGCTATTCTAGGTCTTTTCTAATTTCAAATATAATCCAGGTTTTTTTTTGTTTTCTAGTTCTGTGAAGAATGTTGTTGGTATTTCCCGTCTACGCTGCAAGCCTGAAGGAACTGAACATGCATCCAAAGGTGACTTCCTTCTTCTTTGCCTTTTTCATTTAACCCTGCTGGGTCTAAGGTCTCCCCAACAACCCCGGTGGTTCCCCCTCCTAGCAGAGCTCTTAGTGAGCTGACCCAAGGTCCCTTCACACACAGGCCAAACCCAGAAAGGCTGCTGAAGTTGTTTATTTCGAACCAGGCGGGGTCAGGGTGTTGCAGGAGGTGGTGGAGGGAGGGGTTGCTCAGGAGGCTGGGGCAGCAGGCAGGATGGTGGACTCAGGAGGCGCAGACCCAGCTGGCTACAGTGACAGAAAGGGGAACAGAGGTTGGGGCCCACTCCCACAGGAACAGAAGCGAGGCAGGAGGCGCTGGGGCTGTGCCAGATCAAAGACCTTCTCCCAGACCACCATGCTGGGCGGTTATGGCCCCAGGAGTGATCCTGTCCCCTCCATGAATGGCCTGGCCTCTGAGAATCCTTGGTGGGTGTGAGGGGTGGGACCAGACCAAGTGGAGACCAGGGAGTGGGGAGAACGTGGGGCTCAGGTGATGTTGGTAAAGGGGACTCCCCAAGTGGCTCGAGGATACCCAAGGCCAAGTCCTGAGGTGACTGATCCTGCCTGGCCCGGTGGGGTCTCTCTGTCCTGGTCAGGGAAGGAGTGGGGCCGAAAGAGATGGATGCTGGAATTGGAGAAGCTCAGGATTCAGGGCTCTGGGCATCTTCAAAATCCACCCACAGAGTGTCACTCACCCTAGTCGTTCTCGGGCACACAGTTTTCTATAGAAACAACGACAACAACAAGAACTCAGAGGTGCCCAGGTCAAAGACCCACACCCCATCATCCCTGCCGCCCAGACTCCAATGGCCAAGACCCCAGGTGGAGCCCGGGTGACACTGTGCAGTGAAAGAGGAGACGTACAGGAAACAGATGTGGGTGACACAGAGAGACACTAGGGATACATGTGGACTCACGGGGACATGGCGAAACACAGGGCACACTGGAGGCCCAGAGGGGACACGGGGTTGAATATGGGGCAGAGCCGTCTGCTCACCCCTCTGCTCAGGGATGAAGATGTCCTCCCTCGGTAGTCCATTGTGCTGTGTGAATTTCTCAAATTCTTCCAGAGCCTCCCGGTTTTCCTCAGGGGTCCTCCCTATGGGGCAGGGGCCAGGTGAGCAGTGGCTGCACAGCTCTGCATTAAGCCGATGCCCCAGGACACAGCCATTGGGAGTGGTCAAGGGCAGGGGAGGAGGGAGATTTAAGAGTGGACAGCAAGGGAGGTGGCTGTCACGTGGGCGGGGCCAGACGACATTCTGCAGTGTAGGAGTGCATCCCCATGTCTTGGAGCAGAAGGAACACCAGAGGCCGAAGGGTTCCCCTAGTACTGACAGTTCTACGACTTAAAACCCCACTATAATTTGTCTTTCAGAACCAATCCCTCCCCACCCCCACCTCCCAAAGGCACAAACAGAAAACAAGGTATGTGACGCATTCCCAGATCCTTCAGCCAACTCAACATCAGCTACTTCTCCGTGACTGGGTCCAGAATAAGGTTCTCCCCAGACAGACTTCACTGGATCCACGTTCAAGAGGACTGCCAGGGTTTCCTGATCCCCCTACGTCGCTGTAAAATGCCAAGGCCTTAAGACTTGGTTACGTGTATTACAACGGCAAGAGTGCCAGCACCAGGAAAGGACTCATTGGACCTCTCAGCTTCTCTATATCACCAAATGTAATAACCTTATCAACAAAGTAGAGTAAGCCACGTTCCTCTGTGTGACACCATCACCAGCTGATAAAGCCCAAGGAAAAAGAATAACTCACTTAGACTAGAGCCCTATCTTTTCTTGAGAAGCTGAGTTTTGGGGGAGCTGTTCTGAAATCCGTGCTTCTAATAAGTAACTGATAACATTATAAACTGGATTGGTCCCCAAGTTCAGAGACTTGTAATTGAGTGAAAGATAGACATCAAAATCTTGAAGAATTACACTGAGGTGCAAGCCAAAGTTAAACTTCTTCAAATAATGTTTGTTGAACTGAGAAGTTGCTAAACCAAACCTCTAATAGGACTGGTTATTGGGGCATCTTTCTGTCATTTTTGTCTCTCTGTGTTACACTGCTCTCTGTATTGTCTTTCTAAGTCCAGATGTTCTCAGACAATTCACATTGTCCTGATTGTGGACAACAGTGGTTTCCTAGCTTAGAACTAGGCCACTGGTTGTACCAAACTGAACTTGTTGAAAATGAATGTTACCAAGTCTTTACAGACCATATTAATAGAGCTGATTATTGCCCTGAACATTATCCTGATAATCCTGCTAATAGAAGCCTTGTTCTTCCTTGGTCTTTCCCACTTGAGTGGGCTCCCCAAAATCTCACCAGTGGACCTTTGAAAAAGCTTGCCATCCCTTTCTTCTGGGTCCTCCACTGCTTAGAAAAAAGATACATGACTCCAGAGTAGCTGGTTTTAACCCTGCTTTACAGTTAATCTTGACCAGAACAGATTAAACCTTAAACAAAAAACTTAGCCAAAACAAGTAACTTCTATAATGGTCAAAATCATGGAAATTCTAGAGAGTTTTGTGCTAGAAGCCTAAGGACAATGGAAAAATAACTTAATTTCTCTTTTTATTCTCTTTTCTTTTTTGTTTGTGGTACTGGGGCCCAATACCTGCTCTAGTAGACAAGTGCTTTACCACTGATCCATGCCCCCAGCCTTTATTTCTAAATCTGATCCAGATGGTCACTATTTTTGAGAACTCCTTAAATTGTTGAGTCTGCTTCTGTGGTCTACACTTATTTTGTTCAGCATGAATTTAGTCAGTATTCCAGAGGGACTGTTCATCTAGAACCAGACAAATCCATAATCCCTATAAATGATGTTTTAGAACTAGCTTGTCTCTCCTAAGAAGTTCCAGAGCTTAATTATTGACATATGACAAGATAGTCCTAAAGGACAGGCCTCATACTGTGTGCCCCATAATTGTATTTCCAGCAATAACTTCTGTGGGAAAGCATACTCACTATAGTTGGTTTCTAGATTATTCCAATAAATTTTGATAAGAAACTGTTGTTTTAAATCCCCCTTTTCAGGAATAAATATATGTGTGTATATGTTTATATATAAAATTTATTCATATATAATTGTTTATTCCTCATTGGTTTTGTTTGGCTCATCCTCAGAGTGGTTGTCAAAATATTAATAACTGGTCACTATCAGAGAAGTCCTATCTGTAAGGCAACACTTAATATAGATTACACAGAAAGATGTAAAAATGCTGCCTGTTTATACTTACTTGGTTTTATATAACCAAAAACTATCCTGTCTATGTGCTGACTAAACTTAAAATGTCCTGTCCTAGGAATGAGAAAGTACCTATATAATGAGATTTATGAAAAAAAATGAATTATCAAGATTCAATATATATTCTGAACAGTACTGTGGAAGCATCTTTCTTAAAACTAAGAAAGTCTTGCTAGACAGTGGCCACATTCTGGCCACTTATTTATGAAACTCCCGAAACCAGTGTTACAGTTAGGTAAACTTTGAAAAAGCTGTTTAAAATCTCTCAGAAGCCACTGAACAATTTTTAAATTCCACTTAAGATGCAAGGTAATCTAGTGCTTGTGTGGCAGCTCAAAGAGGTTATCGAAGACCCATGTTCTTTCTCCTCCCTGTTGGGATCCTTATGCCTGCTTTTTGTCCTCATGGCTATTTCCTCAATGAGTGCTGTGTGGTTTGTTGCACCAGGCATTTCAGCACCAATCAAAGGCTAGGAGTAGGGAGCAGAGGGCTTTCTTCTTTCAATTCTGGCCTTTATTTGGGAATAAAACTTCCCAAAAGTCCCTAGAAGAATTCTTTTCATTAGAAGATACAATTGCATGAGTGTGGGAAAACCTGGCAAAGGGGAATGGAACTGGCATTCCCCAGGTAAGGCACATTGCCTCTGCTCATAAAATTAGAATTTTTTCAGGAAGGAAGCAGTAGAGAATGAATGCTATTGCTAATGCAACAAATCATACTCGCCACATGTTGCAAAACCTAAAAGTTACTTGTTTTTCTGTATAAAGAATGTACCCCGGAAATTCACCCCTGTTATCTGCCTTATGTCTGTCATGATGGCAGTTCTCTCCTGTTATTGCTGAATATACTGTAGACTGCTAAAAAAAAAAAAAAAAGAGTGGATGGCAAGCTTGGGGTGGGATGGGGAAGGAGATGGCCCAGTGGCAGGCCCCTGGGGAGGGGTCATGCTGGGATACCTTGACCCATGATGTGACGGGAGGGGTAGGGTGGCTTCTGAGCACCTCTGCAAGGACCCTGTGTCCCAGGGGCATTGTGGTATCCCCTCACCCTGAGGGACCCTGTCCCACAAAGCCCTCTGTCCAAACATTACTGCCTCCACCTTAACCCCCTCAGCTCCTGAGGCCTCAAGAAGTGGCACTGGGTGGCCTGCAATCACCAAAGGCTATGTCTGCCTCATGGTGGACAGTCCCCTCCCAGCTGGCCCCTTCCCACCACAGAGTTTGCATTCTGCCCAGGCAGCACTGTGCCCGTACCCTGAGGCCAGCTCAGGGACCCCCTTAATACCCTGGTGCCAGGACACAGCTGGTGCCAGGACAGTGGGGTAGGAGCCAGGGGTCTCCAAGGTACCCTCACCCATGAGGCTTCCTGCACGGATCATCTTCCCGTGGAAAAGATGCTCCGTGTAAAAGAGGAAGTGGTCCTGCACAGACAGCCCCACTACATTTACGGACATCTTGCCCCCATCTGTAGAAGAAGAGTGAGACATTAGCTTGAAGTATCTTCATGCCTCGAGAAAGCATCAGAGAGCACACTAAGAAGAAGTCCGGGATGTCTTGCAGTCACTCAGCACGGGCACCCAGCCCCAGCCAATCCCATGGTGGCCTCCACAACAGGGCAGGAGGCCCCTGTGGAGAAGGGCAAACCTCACATGGTGAGACCAGATGGTGAAGGCCAGGGACATTGAGGCTGGAGCTTGGCACTGGCCCTGAGCAGCTGCCCTGCTCTGCTTCCTTAGCCTCAGTTTCCCTGTAGGTCCCCAGTTAGGACCACACAGTGGGAGATGCGGCTCAGCCAGCCCATGCTGTGGGCAAACCCAAGATCTCAGATGTCCGCTGTGGGGCCACAAGACCAGGGGAAGGAAGAGCGGGCTTCTCCTGGGAGGCTGAGAACGAGCAGCCGGGAACCCATTTATCCCCTCACACTCTCCCCAGACAGCTCCAAATGAGGGCACAGCGGGCAGAACTCACAGGCACTGTATTTGCCAGGCTCCTCCGTTTTCTGCAACAGAACTCTCTCCTCATAGCACCGCCCCTTCTGGCTGGAAATCAGGAGGCACAGGAGTGGCTGCTCTCAGTATCCCCTGAGCATCAGCCCCGACCAGGTGAGAGCCCTGCTCCACCCCTGCCCGAGCTGTCCCTCCCCTCTCAAAGTCTGGGGACTTCTTGTCACCAACATTCTAACGTGAGTGAGGGAGGGGGAGAATAGCAGGTGGAGGGAGGGTCCCGGGTTGGGTGACACTCACAGGTAGGTGATGTCGGCCTCCCAGTTCCCCCGTTCCAGGGCCTTCATCATCATGGGGAATGCCTTTCTGGGCTTGTTCTCCTCCAACAGGTTCTTGTTGGCTACCACACCCTTCAGGAACCAGGGCCCTGTGATCTGGAGCAGGCCGAGCCCTGAACCCACTGTGGCCCCACCTGCAGTCCACCCACCAACCTTGACACACTGGTCTGTGGCTAAACTGGCGCCCAGAGAGCCCAGGCTGCAGCCCCTGGAGAAGGGCCTGGGTCCTACACACCCTACTCCTGTGCTCTGTGGAGCAAGGCCAGCTCCCCCCTTAACAGCTCCATTCTCTCAGGGTACGTGGTCTCAGCACCAGGTGAGTCCCCGCTTCCTGCTCTTTGAAGCCTTCTGATTGTGGGTGTCTCTTCAGCAGGATCCGCAAGCCAAGCTGAGAGCTTTCTGCTCCAGCCCTGCCCTTGGGACCAGCCTTGTGTGCTGGCAGAACCACAGAATCCCATGAGCTCTGACCATTTAGGGCTGGAAGTGCAGGGTTGGAAGCTGGACTTAAATGACACCTCTTGGAATGAGGGTCCAGGCTGCTGCCTGCTGCCCAGAAGCCAGGACCTTTCTCCTACCCTAGGCACCATCCCTGCCCGGCCTCACATCCAGCTCTTCTGAGAGGAAGGACAGAGGGCCCTCAGCCGGCAGGGCGGCCCCCAGACCAAGCAGCATGAGGGTGAGCAGCAGGCTTTTCATCTCCAGCGCTGTGCTTGCGGCCGAGCAGGTCTCCCAGAGTCTGGATGAGGCTGTGTCAGCTTCTCTGCGGACACCCTTTATGTCCCCTGTGGCCAGGGCCAGTGTGCAGCTGGCACTGACCACACCCCTCCCACACATCCCTTATGGCCAAATGCGAGTCCATCACGGAACGCGGTGCTGTTGTTCTTGGGATCCGATGAATCACAACTTAATGTCACGGGAGATAAAGACCACAGTGCTGCCCAGTTTCTGCTCCACTCCAGGGTCCTGCCCATAGCCCAGCCCACGCAGACAGGAGATCTGGCTTCCTCTCTGCCCTCCTCACCCTTGGCACCCATGGCTGGCCAGGGCCACGTTCTAGGGGAGCCATTTTTGCTTTCTGCCCAGGGGACACATTTACTTCCTGACCCCTGCCTCATTCTGTACCCAAGCGCCTCCTCTCATAGGTCTTGCCCTTTTCCTCTACCTGTGCCTTTCTCCCAGGCCCTCAGTTCCAGTTTAAGAGTAGGGAGTTGACTCCTTGGGTTCATAATTTCGTTGTGGCTGCATGAAGAGTTCTAGACACATGTTAGGAGGTCATAAATATTTTCCTACTACAGGAATAAACCAAAGTCATTTAACCTCTGTGGGCTCAAAGGCTTCCTCTCTGATTAGGGAACTTACAACTTCAGGCTCCCAGGCACCCCTGACATGAATGAGGCGCCATGGATGTTGGTTTCTTCATTCCCATCCTACGTGTAGTGGGATTCAGGACCAGGTGTCGCCATAGCTTTTCAGAAACCTACTCATGCAACTCCCTTAACTTCATCCCAGTAGGGTCCCCAACTCCACAAAGGCCTTCTCCTCACCAGCTTTGACCACCCACATGCACACACAACAACCTTAAACCTTAGTCTCTTTGGATAAAGTGGACAAGAAGCACAAGGAAGACACATGCCGGTACTTTTTCATGGCACAGGCGTCTGGTCAGGTGGGCCTGCCCCTCAGGAACCGTGTCCACGGCAGACCCCATCCTGAGATCCAGGCAGAATCTTGAGGTCTCACAGCATTTGAGGGGCTGCATCAGGAGGGGCTGGGTGCACTTCCCATGGAAATAACTGCGGAAAGAATTGGCCATGATACAGTGGAACTTCTCCCATGGGGAGGTGGTGTCAATTTCTCTTCCCTTTGAATCTGGGCTCAGCAATGTGCATTTTCATGTTTCCAGTTGTATTTTTAGCGATGCACTTAGTAGTAGTAGTAGTAGTAGTAGTGTATACCTAATAGCTTCATTGGTTCTGGGGAATTGGTCATCTACACCATTTCTTGATTGTTTTTGATTCTTTTATACCCCTCCCTACATTCCCCTCTCCTCCTCCTGCTCGTCCCACTTTCCTTCTCCAAAGTTTCTGTCTCCGTTTCCTACACCTCTCCCTTACACGCATTTTATGTTTTCCTACTTTCTGCATTTTTTGGTGCTTGGGCACCTGGGCCTCTCTGCTCCCAGAGTGCCTGGCGCTACCAGGTTAGCTAATGCCTGGTGTAGCCAAGGGCTCACCTGTGAAGCCCACCCTCCTGTATGGGCTCCCACACCTGGGCCACACTCCAGAGCCGGGGCGTCCCCCAATCCCAGTCTGTAGTTACCCGCTGCTGATGTCACCCCACCCTCCCCAAGTGCTGCCCTTATCCTGTTCACCTTTCACAAACCACTACCCCTCTCCGCCCGCTCAGCGCGCCCCACTGCTGTGCCCAGGGCATGCCCCCGGTGTGCAGGAAACCGGAAACCGAGTGTGATGAAAAGCGATCACAATGTCTGAGCGTCTCCCGCACCTGATTAAATCAAAGTTTGGACCTTTTGACACCATGTGACACACTTGGCCATCGACCCACTTTATTGAAAGCAGAAATGTGACGAAGTGTGGGCACAGCGCAGCTCTCTCTCGGCACTGGGAGCTCTGCCTGCAGGTAGGGAAGCGTGGTTGTGGGCCGGGGTCCTCGCTCTTACACAGCGTGGCAGCAGTCTCTCCATGTGTTAGTAATCTCTGGTCAACTTGCAGTTGTCTGCAGACCAGAAGAGATGGACAGGGGAAGAGGGTACATTCACGTGCTCACATTTTAAGGAGAAATTGTGGATAAAAGGGAGGGAAGAAGGATGGATTTCTTTCTTTACCAGCATGGGGAGGGCTGATGATTAGTGTTTTGTTCAGTCCTCTCTTCTCCACAAACACCTGGAAGAACCTCAGGGCATCTGAGTTTTCGTCCACAGTGCGGCCTGCAGACCAGATGGGTGAGGGTCAGGGAGGGGAGACAGGAACCCCCCCACCCCGGTCTGGGATGGAAAGAGGGGGCTGGGAGGGCCTCTCCCTCCAGGCACTGGAAGGACTCCAAGCAGAGCTTGAAAGGCCCCACTGCAAACGTCCTGTGAAGACCGGCCGGGTAGGAGTCTTCAGCAGGAGTCCTGTCTGAGCCTTGTTTGGGACATCAGCCCCCTAAGCAGGTTCGCCTCCTTGGAGGCCAGCAGTCTTCCAGCCGGTTCTCCCTTCTGAAGTCTCCCCAGGAAGAGGGTCACCTGACCTGGTGCTGGAGAGAAGAGTAAGGGACAGAGGTCCCCGAACAGGCACATCCCGGGCTCAGGGACATCCTGCCTTGGCTTCCCCCGGTCTGTCCAGGTAGGATGCTCCTGAGTCATGATGGGAGGAGGCACAAGGTGGCAAGGGCAGAGGGCCACTCATCAGTGACCCGCACACGGCCTGTGTGTTCTTGGCTCCTTCAGTGACCTCAGTGTCTCCTTGGTTCTGGCCTCTCTCTCGGGAGACCTGGACTCAGAGGCTGTAGCCCAGGCACCTCCTGATGGCAACACGGCCCCCACCCCCGAATCCTGCCCAAGGCTCCCTGCATGCCAGGGATCGCTGGGGACAAACAGGGTGCACTGCCTTCCTGCCCAGCTCCCTCCAGTGCCCACCAGGGAGGCTTTCCTGAGACTTCTGGTCCTCAGGAGGAGAGCTGTTGGCCTCGTCCGTCCTCGGCTCCAGTCCGGCCCAGGGCACTTTGCACACCAGGAACCCCACCCCGCCTGAGCCATGTTAGGTGTGGACATTCACCCTCACTGGAGTCAGGGCAGCCCTGAGGCGTGGGGAGCATGTGGAGTGCGATCAAGCACAGGAGGTGGGGAGTGACATCTGCGAGGGTCTGTGGAGCACTCAGGGCCCCGAGGCCCGAGGTAATGACGCGGTCCTGAGTGTCCCTGTCCACGTCTCCCCGCTTCAGCCTGAGCTCCTGCACTGATGATCGCTGGTAACTTGTGGGATCAGAGCCTCCCAGGACTGAGGACAGGGGTGGCCAGACCCGGGGAAGCTTCCGGAGGAAAGGGAGGAGGTGGGATCCTGGACTAGAGTGGGAGGAAATTTATGAGTGCCCAGGTCACAAGGGATCCTTGGTGCAGAAGCACTGGGATTTCCAGCGGGGGTTAGAGAGGGTGGGGAGAGCTGAGCCTCCGCATCGAGATGGGGCTGATGGATGGGTGGTGGTGAAAGTCAGGTCCAGGATCTCCACCTGAGAACTGCTGGTCTTGGAAGGCGGATACTCTTGGTGGTGGCAGGGAGTTGATTAGAGCTCCAGCCTCCACCCTGCAGATGCCAGGGCCCCATTGCTCCCTCATAACAATAACACGTGTCTCTGGTCATTGCCCAGTGTGCCCAGGGCAGATGGGCTCCAGGGAAACCCCGCATCAGGGCATGACCACACCAGCTGCTGGTGCAGGGGAAGAAGGAAGTGAGGAGCCATGCCAACACGAGTAGGTGTGGGGTCCAGGCACCAGAGATGTTAACACGAGTGCAGGGAGAGTCCAGTGATCCCAGGAACAGCGCCCTGGGTGGGAGCTGGAGGGGACTGGGCAAGAAGGCAGTGCAGCCTGTCCATGCCTGGTGCCTCAGAGCCCTTGATCAACTCCCATAGCCACAGCAAGGCCGGGAACTCACCCACAAGCATCATCATCTTGTAGATGGTATTGTCCATCCTGCCCTGGTAGTAGGCAATGGCATGATCCTTCCCCAGCAGGAACTGGATGATGATGAAATGTCCTGACCCTGTGGGTGACACAAGCCATGTGACCATCAGGTTTCTTTCCACAGGATCCATGGAACAAAGAATGCCCATCTGGCCACTTACAGGCATGGAAGACGCCAATGGCATCAAATTCATCCAGAGGCAGCTTGAACAGAAAACATCCGGTGGATTTCCTGCAACACAGGATCCAAACATGGTTCTCAGCACAGACCCCTGCCCAGCCCTTCCTTGCTCCCACTCAACAGCCCCAGCAGTGAGGTCAGCCCCCCACTTCCTCCTGATGCATAATACTCAGCAACCAGCCCAGGTTCTTTGACTCTGGGGCCGGAGTCCCCAAGGAGCCATCCCTTGGGTATCCAGGACCGTGGATCCTGCAGCCACCAAAGGATGCCTGGTGTGACAGCCAAGGGTGCTGTCTACAGGCACAGAAGGCCCTTGGGTGGCTATGGCTGGTCACTGTGGAAGCCAGTAGGAATATGGTCCTGAGAAAGGCCTCAAACAGCCCAGGATGGGTTCTCAGAAGCCTTCCAAAGAGTCCTGTCCTAGCCCAGTGGACAAAGTCTAGGATGTAGGATCTCCTAGCCAGGTCTTCTTGTAACAGCAGGCCACACCCCGCAGGAAGTGGCTTGCTGTGGACCCTGTACCCCCTCCCCCATGTGTGCCAGGTGGTGCCAGCAGGGGAAAAGTCAAGCAGGTGCAGAGCCCATGAGCAGCCCATGTCGAGAGTTCAGAGCTCAGAGCAGCCTGGTTCTCTGCCCAGCCCGGGCCGTTTCCCAGCAAGGTGGCCAGCTCCTGCCCTTGAACTCCAGGTGTTCCTCCCAGATGACAGTCCTGTATCTGCTGTTGCTTCAACCTGGGCTCCTTACTGGTCGAGGAGCCTGGAATAATATCCCGAAGGAGCTGGAGGCTCTGGCTCTGCATGGAAATGAGCACAGCGCCCACACTGGGCTTCTCTGGGAGCAAGCAGTGCCGCTGGAAGCCCGGGTCACAGTGAGCGAATGCACAGAAGGTGACAGGAAAACCCCACAGCCTCCTGTGCTCAGCTCGGCGTCAGTGTGAGCACTGTCCCTGTAGCTACGGAGGCCGCCTGGCACATTGCTGAGATCAGGGGAGAGGGCGCTGAATTCCGGAGAGTGCCGAGTGGGGCGAGGGAGGGCATGGAGATGGGGGGGGGGCCTGGAGGAGGCACAGCTGGGAACGAAGGGGCTGCGTGCAGGGCGCTCACTTGATGTTCATCCTGAACTCCAGCTTACTGATTCTGTTTCTGATGAACGTGAAGGGCGGCAGTGGGCTGGTCTTCTTCCTTCCAGGAATAGGCATGTCTCCCGCCCAGCGTATTATGTACCAGGTTCCTAAAAGCTGCAGGCAGGGGGACAGGGATCCAACCTTATCAGGGCTGCAGGGCCAGGGAGACCTAGGGAAAGGGGACCCAGGCTGGTGTGGAGTAGCGTAGCACAGGAGCAGGCTTGGCCCAGGGCCTCAGTGCAGGCTGGGGTGTCTGAGACTGTGGAGGGCAGGAGGGCTCCGGGCACAGGCAGACCCTGTCCATTGGGAGCAGGCACCACCAGACAGAGGGGCAGGAGCCTTCCCAGGTGATGCCACTCCAGGGAGGGGCTTTGAGCAGGGGTCCTGCACAGGCTGTCAAGGAGGAGCTGAGAAAAAGTCAGCCAAAGGACCAGGTTCATTTATGTCCCCACCAGGGACAGGGCAGGGGTGAGCAGTCACAGAGACAGCAAAGCTGTGCACTGACTCAGCCCCGTGGGCTCATCTGATGACCACAGCCAGGGCTGCCTGGCAGGACCATCCCAAAAGTGCAGTCAGTGCCTCCTTCCTTAAGGATCAGACCCCTCAAGGTTCTTCTGGTATCAAGTGGCAGCTGCTGCTGACCACATACACACAGGCACTTGCATGTCCCAGGGGCCTCGAACATGCGACTCTCCACCCCAGACTGTGCTAATTACCACACACAGCGACCTCATTCCTCTCCTGCACCCAGGGGTCATAGGTGAGAACTAGAAGGTCTGGTTGCAGCTCTTGGCGAGAGGACAGGGCAGATCCAGAGCACAGTTTTGGAGTGCAAATGACAAAGAGGGAGCTGGTGTCCCCCAGGCCAGGTGGTCGAGAGCACGGCCAGCAGCTGGTCAGCTCCCCGAGATGAGAAAGCAGGACTTCGGGTCACTGTGGGGAGGTCCTGGGGTCAGGATGTGTGAGCCCAGAACCCGGACTTTCCACTTGAGGGACCCAGAATGCTCGGGTACTGGCCTTGACCGAGAGCCTGTTCAGGCCCAGGTCAGTTTAACTTCCAGGAAGAGGGTGTCAAAGATGAAGACACCTGAGTTCCATCCCCAGTGCCAAAATAAATTTTAAAAAAAGATGACGACACCTGAAGCCACCTGCTTTATCCATCAGTGAGGGGGCCTGGGCTGCTGTCTCATCATCTCAGAGGCTTAAATTTTGTTATAAAAATGCCTCATTTTTAAAGTAAAAAATTCTAGGGACAAGCCATGAGTGGTCATCTGCATGACTTTCACTGGGAAGTGGAAACTTGTGTAGAACCCACTGGTGCCTGGAAGAAGCATCTCCAGCACCCACGACTGACAGAGGAGCAAAGCGTGTCTCTGGGCAGTGGGGCTGGCAGGGCCGTGCCGGGAACTCCCTTGATAGGCCTCCCTAAGGCACACTCCCAGCCTCTAGAGCACAGGAAGATGCCACGTTGTCCCCCAGGCACTGCTTGGCACCACCCGAGGAATGTCACCGGGCATAACACAGGACCCCTGCCACTCAGATCAACATTCCTGAGCCCTCACCCATTCCTGGGGCCTGACCTCGGAAACCCAGGTCCCAGCTCTGTCCCTCCCCACAGATGTCACCTCTTCAGAGCTGGCAGGAGTCAGAGGGAGCATGTCAGCTTGCACCACGGAGAAGAGGCTCAGCCCCGAGGTCAGCAGAACCAGCCGCACGGTCCCCATGTCCACGCTCCTCCTGCTCTCCCTGCTGTTGCTGAGCTTTGTCCGGTGCTGGGCCACCCTGAAGGCAGGAACTGACCCTCTGCTGCCTGCACAAAGCCTCCTGAAATCTGCAGGGCTGGTTGCCCTGCTTGGTTTGGACTCCATGAATGGATGGTGCTAATTTGTGTAATTAGCCATCCCGGCTGCCCTAGCCTGCCTTGTCCCGGGGAGAATGTTATCAGAGTGAAGTCCCCACCCCGGAATACGGAGCCAGGAGAAGGATGACAAGGGCTCCTTGTGCTCTGTCCTTCCCCAGGTGTAGGGAACAGGGGAAGGGGACGTTACCAGAACCTCTGCAGTGAGTCCTAGTCTCCTGCAAGCCACGGCAGCACACGGCGAATGACAGGAGAGGTAGAAAAATGAGACTGAGAAGAAGCTGAGCTTTGGGTCTGATCAGTGCTGCTCTGGGCAGCAAAGAGAAAAGGCCCCAGCTTACCACACCTTTTATTCAGTACATCGGGAGAAACAGATGTAACCAATGACTCAGGATAGGGAGAGGTCAGTACATCCGTGTAAACAAGATGTACCAATCCAAGAACAATGAGGAACTGAGCAGATGTTTGTTCCTCCCAGGCTGTCTTCAGCTGGTGTAATCTTGTCCTGAAGAATCACAGCATCACCAGATCATTGAGATCTCAGTTGTGACCGGAGGCCAAAATGGAATTATGTCTCGGAATTCCATAGCTGGGCTGTAGGCAGGAGAGCTAGGCTAACCAAATGATTTTTCCCTAAAATTATATAGCATTGCTCCCGACACCCAGGAGCCTGGGCCAGTTCTGGTTCTGACACACTCTCCTGGGTCCCAGTCCAGGGCTAAGGATTCAGTTCCCTTCAAAGACAAGGTCACCACACTCTCCATTTGGCCCAGACCTTGGAACTCCGAGCACAGCACCCAGCCCTCCTCCAAACACCTTCGCGGAGGCTCAAGGGCGCCCTGCAGCCCCCGCCTCCTGCAAGCTGAGCTGCTGTCTTTCCCTCCACTGGGGAAGTCCTCAAAAAGGTAGAACCCACTTAAGATTTATTAAAACATTTTTGCTTGTCAAAAAGCAAATTAAAGTAAAAAGGTAGATGAAGAAATGATTTTAATTCATGTATAACAATACCTTAATAATGTTTATCAAATTGCCAATTTAAACATATGAATGAAATACAATGTCCAGGAAGAACTACAACAGGATGGAGAAGGGAGGAGGACAGAAGAGATCAACAGGACTCTGGGGACCTGATCCCTGAGCATGCTCAAAAACGGTTTTTGTCTGTATCCTCTGCCCGCTCTGTGCTACTTTGGTCATTAATTAGAAATTCTGAGAAATGAAACTTCTTAGTTTTATTTCCCTCAAGTCTATCAAAGGCACTCAGGCTCACACACACCAGAAATGTGATTCTGGTGATTTTATTACTGTCTAGTCTGGTCATTGTTCTATATGATTGCCAGTTCTTGCTGTTAATCTTTTACTATGCCTACTTTAGAAACTGAACTTTACCACAGTTGTTCATGTACAGGAATAAACAGTCTATGTAGCATTTGGTATCACCAAGAATTCAGATATCCACTGGGTAGCTTGGAATGTATGTCTACCCCTCAGAGAAGGGTGGATGCTGTGTCTTCACCGGAGTGGTGGTTATATGCACTCATGTCGAAATCCGTGGAACTTTTGGTTGAAGGATTGTAAGTGCCTTCTACTGAGTGAAGACAGATTGGCAGGTTGTCCCTGCTGTGCCACGCCAGCCAGGAAATCACCAAACACCGGGACAAAGACAGAGTTATAACTAAAAGGAGTTTATTCATGGGTGTGGACTCCACTTTCTAGGAGAAGTGAAGCCCCGAAGCAGGGGAAGGTACAGGTTTATAGGAAACTCGAACAAAGAAGTTCAGGGAGAGGCCACTATGTCCTTCAGCCAGCTGTGAAATACTTTTTCACAACCCAGTTCTTTTTCATCCCACCTATCTTGCCGAGATGGGGCCTTCTGTAGCTACAGGGCTCAGTGGTTACAGGGAGGCGCCGGGCACCATCTGTTCCCGGGGAGCGATAAAGCATGTTTACAGAAGCAGAGCAAGCGGCTCTCTTGTGGGGAATTCCAGTCCTCTATAAGGGGAGGGGTATGAGGGGAGTTCATTTCTTTGGTTCTCTTTGGTCTCATAGTCCCTTCCCCTTATGACCCTGGCCAGGCCATGGTCACCAGGAAGCTCACAATGGCCGGGGGGAGTTCATCGGCTCACTGCTGTGTGTCTGAGAGGACAGGAGTATCAAACTTCCCACACACCCTATTTGGCAGGAAAGGAAAATGAGACTCAAAGGGCACAATACCCATGGGAGGCCATGGTGAATGTTGGCATTGGAGCTGAATTTCCTTGGCTCTGAGTTTGAATTCTCTCCATTGTGCCCCTAACCTCTTCAGTATTAAATAAAATTCTGCCACCATGGACAATCTCAAGTTATTATTTCTTAAAGATGACATTCAATCTAGACATGATTGTGATTTAAAGCACTGGAGAAATATCAGATTTCAATCTTCTCAGAAGAGTAGTGAGGACTTCAAGCTGAAAAAAATGAAAAGAGGAAAGTCCACTGCCTATTGCTTCCATCTGGAGCTGCCCCAGGTGTCCAGTCCCTCAGCTCCCCCAAATTTGCAGGGTTCTTGGGGTGCCTACAGGCTCCCCAAGGGCTGCCATGGCTCTCACACAGTGGTCCAAGCATCGTAATATCATGGTGTGTTAGCAAAGGCAGGAGCTGCAGATGCACCGTCTCATGATGCAAACGAGGACGGTGAGCCCTGGGGCCCAGGGGATTCCCTCTTTGTCACACAGCTGGTGGGCAATGGCAGAGCCCCCCTCTGCCCCCAGCTTGTGTTATTTTTCATCCTGGCATGGTCTGGGTAACAGTGTTCCACCTGGAGAGGTAGAGGGGATGGCATGCGACTGGGACCAGTAAGGAACCGGGACTGGAGGTGGTGGGGGGTGGCTGAGCCTGCAGTGGGGATTCTTCTGTGGGACACTAATTAGGAAGCAGCTCCAGCTCCTACGCAACACACAAGGCAACTGGCTCTTTCACAAGCTTAGGGTGCTCAACTCTCAAATGTTTATGTGTGTAATCTGCTCTCAGTGTGTGCAGGATTACAAGCTACTGAAAAATCAAGGTCAAATTTTCCCTTTTACCGTAAGTGTCCACATAACAGAGTCGAGCCATGCCTGATGGCAAAGGCCACGAGCCTCCGCATGCATAGAGGGACATCGCGACTCACACCCTGCCTGTTCCCAGGTCACCAGAATAGCCCTGTTCGCTCTTCTTCTGGCAGTGCAAACCACACAGATAGGAAAATGAACTTCTCTGCTACTGCACTTCATTGGTTTTCTGTCCAAAGCCTTCTACATGACTTTGCTGCATGTGAAACTCATCCTTTGGTTGGGATTCAGAAAAGTTGTGTGTTCATTTGGCCTTTCCTGCTGAAACTGAGCTCCCGGGAGTGAGCAATGCCAAGGAGACCAGGATCAGCCAACCGGATTCCCCACAGGCAGGAAAGGGGAGCCACACTCTCCCACATGTCTGGGAACCCCTGTGTTGGTTTTCTTTCCTGGGCAGCTGAGAGCAGAAGGTCACTGCACATGATGGAGTGCCGGAGAACCACAGCGTTCCAGAAACTGAGAGCAAGCATTTGTCTTATGAGAAACCATTGTGGAAGCCACAATGGGGTTTAAATTCCATGGCAGTCTCTCTGCATTTCTCCTCAGATTTAAAGCACAAGTTTCTCTGATGGAGGAGGCTACCCTGGAATTGAAAGGGAATTTCTAGGTGGACAGATATATTTTGCTAACAACAATAACTCAATTGGACAACAGTAAGTTAACTGTGCTATTAAGCAACTATGGGTTAATTGGGTAACTATACTCTTTGTGGAATGTACCTGAGTAGCCATGACAACTTCTGTAATCTGTCACCACAGAAAGGTAATGACTCAGAAAGTCCTGCCAGAACTCTGTTCTGGCTCCCCCTCCACTGCTCTGCTTTGTGTAAACTTTGCTTGCTGTATTATCAGGGAAACTCCAGTGGAATTAAACCTCATAGATGTAAAAAATGTCAAATAACTAACCAACCAAAGACTGCCAAATACTCTGCTTCTGCTTCTGTACTTCCTGCTTGCAACCCTGTAAAACTGTTGGCCCGCCGATATTCTGGGCCTGACTTCTTTGGGCAAAGATCTCAGGTCCACCAGTGTAAATAAAGCTGTTTACTGCCTCCGAACTTCTGTGTGCCATCTGTTTCCCGGTTCAGATATTCTGTAACAGAATGTGCTCATAGAGACAAAGCAAGCTCCAAGTTAGTAATGTGAATCACACAAGGCAAAAATGCTTTTCATCTCTGGGAATTTTATATTTTAAAAAAACAAATTCACCATGGGAAGGTGCATCTTCACCCTGCAGATGGGCTCCTGGCTGGGGAACACCCTGACAATGTCCCAGGGAAGAGTGGGCAGCTTGGGTGAGAGGTGGCAGACACAGGCGTGGTGCTTCTGCATCTGTGAAGACAGCTTTGCCATCCTAAGGCCTAGAGAACTGGGGACAGTGGGGTCCCATGGTGACTTTTATGCTCTGTCCTCAGTCCTTTCCCGGTAGGTGTCAGGTGTGAGCATTTACACATCCAGCCCAGAAGCAATTATACCACCATCCCCAGGATCTCACTTTTATAATAGACAGAATTTTTAATTTATCATTTAATCTTTAGAAAAAAAATTTAGACTATGTTTTAGAGCAGTTTTATGTTCAATGGAAAATGGAGTGTGAAGAGTCAATAGACAATGCCATACATCCAGCTATGCCTTCTCATCATACCCAAAGCTTTTCAACAGAGCAGAGTATAAAACATTCATTGAAAACAGTGCTGCCAGGGATTTAGCTCAGTGGTTCAGCCGCTTGCCTCGCAAGTGCAAGGACCCGAGTTTGATCCCTGGTACCAAAAAAAAAAAAAAACAGTGCTAAACAAAAAACATGGGAATTGTGGCTTTAGACATTTACACTTACAGAAAGACTGGGAAACTTTTGGTGAGTCTGAAGGTGAGAAGACATTTTATAATGCACAGACCAATGTGTGACAACTAAGGATAACAGAAACTTCACTGCTGAAAAAGATCCAAAATGCATAACATCTCAGAAAATATCTGAATTTGTGACACTTGTAATGATCATGTGTTTCTATAAATAAGAATTCACATCAAATTATTAAGCAAGTTTTCTCTCAAAGGAAATTTGGGGAAGCCAAAAGTGGGTCTAGTCCGTGATTCAGTTAATTACTTGAACAATTTTCAAATGTAGCAATGGATAAAAT